CACCGAGCATGTCGTCGCTGAGCCTCAACTGTTGGAAAAATGAGAACTTCACGGATGCGGGGCTGAGGGAGCTGGCCCAGAAGTTCCCACCAAGCATGTCGTCGCTGAGCCTCAACTTTGGGCGCAGTGTGAAATTTGCGGATGCGAGGCTGAGGGAGCTGGCAAAGAAGTTCCAGCGACCAGCACGTGTCTAAGCAGGAGGGCTGGGCAGGAACGCCTTTTACAAGCAACTGGGGATCTTTCATCTCCTGTAGTGTTCCTCTCTGTTGTGGGAAGCGACATGCTGACAATCAGGGCGGACCTTTTGTTTAACTTCCCCCCAGAGTTTGGCTCGTAAAGAGCAGGCCCCCCAAGCAGGTTGTACATATCAATGGGTACCCGCCCCACGAAATCATGAGCCAGCTGTTACAGCTAGCATCCCTGCACGTTGTATGGAGATAAGAGAACCACAAAATCAAAACGATGTAAGAACCTGCTGCAAGGAGAGGCGTCATGTAATAACTTGATGCAAGGAGAGGCGTCAGGTAATTATAAGTCTGGGAATTCCAGAGCTGAAGTTTTGGATTCGCAGTTGCCCCCTTGAGCCGCTAGTTAAAGTCGTTCAGGAGGCTTTGGTCTTTTTAACTTTAGCCCAGGAAAGCGTTGCGTATTTCGAAACCCTGAAAATGTAGCTGGTGCCGCAATAGAATCCATCAGCTATGTTTCAAAACCAAAGGCCTTGACGTTGTAGAAGGCAGCGGATAGCTTGACTAAGCAAAGTGGGTGCAAGATGATTGCTGCTATGACGCTCCGTGCATGATTGAGTGTCGGAGCCCTTGGGGGATCCACATGCAGGATACCCCTGCAGTGAAGAATGTCCGGTGCACGTCCTCAGCTCATCAAGCCAGAAAAAGATTGAGTTTTCGTCCGTTGCGCGAAGCTAGCCAGCACCCCAACGATCATAGGTGGCAAGGAAGCCATATGCAGACATACGTGTAGCTGTTCATGTGGGTGTCTTCCAGGATTCTTGCTTCTGCCAATGACAAGAACTGACAGCGGCAAGTGGAGAACTGACTGTCATGCCTCACGTGCTACAGTACCGTGTTATTCTACGGACCAGCAGATGAAGCTTGCATGGATACTGCCAGATTTGGACCAGTATGACGTTTTCATTGCCTGTAGTTTTTCCTATCTTTGGTGCAGTTAAGCAAGATTGGTCTGAAAAAGCCAAGTGCTTCCTGCAGCTGCACCCCAGCATGTTCAGGGAGTCCAGTCCGCTTCTTGATTGCACAGGGAGAAGAGCCCTCAAATGTCTCTTCTGGGCTGCTGACACGCCACTTGTAGCCGCATATCTGAAGTTTACTTTACAAGGAAGGTGCTATAGCTGCTAGGCGAAGACGTCGAAACATGGTATATAATGGGAGACGCCTTTGCAGAATAGGATTTTTGCAGAGTGTTTTGCCCGGAAGTCAGCCCATGACAGTGGTTCAAAATCCGGCTGTTGGAAATTGCTAGCATGGGGCGTCCTTCACTTCTCTTTGAAGAGTCGGTAGATGGTTGCTGCTCTTGCACTCCCACACCTCCCGCTTGTCGCTAGCAGCAAGTACTTTTGATGCCGATGACTCTTTGGGCGGGAAATTGCCAACAGCATCAACCAACAAATCTGATGCGAAGTTCTTGCTAGCTTTGCTGGGGTACATCTTGTGTTCACCATCCCAGTGAATGCCTAAGGGCCTAAGGTCTATTCATTCTATGAGCCAAGCTGAATATGATGCTTTTCCGTCCAGTTCCCGCTCATCGCTGTGGGCCTGCAGTGTTGTATGTGCTAAAAACACCGGCTTGCTTCTAGTGATGGTCCGCCTGTCTTTGTTGCATGTTTCTGCTGCAGTCTCAAAATTCTGGTGGCCCCGCCTATGAGCTCGTGTGCCATGGGCAAAGACTTCCAGCTGCGCCTTTTGCAATGGGTCCCCGAGGCCAGGGCGCCTCTTCCATATAGTCTCCCACTAGGGGTGAAGGGCACGTCATTGAGTGCTGAGGTGTTGTGCCTTCAGGTCATATCGAACGGTAATGGTGTGGGAGGGGGGCTCGTGGTCATGTCCTATCTTGCCCAGCTGCTGGTAAGCCGTGGGTTGCCTATTCACACACGTGGAACACAGCCGTTTCGCATGCAAGCTTCCTCGTCAGGCCTGCATCACTTCAGACGAGGACATACAACTCCTTGCTGACGGTCAGCATCCAGACCCTCAGCACGTCCTGGGCGTACAGGCTGGGACCTCGTGGTTGATTGCCAAGCTCCGCCTCAATTTGACGCGGGCCTCCACGCCAGCAGCCCCGGCTGATGGCTTTACGGTCGGACTTTTACTGCAGGACTTAGTTCCAGAGGCATCGCTGATATCATCAAGCCGCATGAAACAGCAAAATTTCAAAGCAGACTGCCCTGCAAATTTCATGCGCAAGGAAACATAGAGATGATTGTGAAGCACTGAACTGTGTTTCCACAGATGTGAACATCCAAGAGAAAGCTGAGAAAGCATTGGTCATGGTATGGTTTGCGAGCAAGCAATTCGTCAACTTTCCAAAGTTGAGCATTGCCTGCAATACGTGAGGAATGGACCCAGGCTCGCAGTCGCCATGTTCTAAGACTTTGCCACCCTGAAGGTGGTGGGCTCTTACGTCATCCTTCGCTGTTGGATCAGCGGAGCGGAATCCGTGGCAGTCGCGAACAACGAGGTGTGGTGCATGTCTATTTTCGTATGTATGCAAAGCTGGATACAGCTTTCAGCAATTTTGTTTGTGCAGCGTGCGTGCAGCTGCAAAGCAGAGCCCGGGGGTGTCATCGAAGGGTCACCAGCTTGGCCGCAGGGGGCCCTTATAGAGCCCGGTCATACACGGTCGTACACATGAGAAACCCATATCCTCAGTTTTTCATTGATCGGAAAGTGTAGATTTGCTGGCAAGAGGAGATCTTCGTCCCAGAGCTCTCAGATGCGCGGGAGGATCCCCCCGGACAGGCTGACTGCTGCAAGCGGGATGCTTCTTTCGACTATAGATCAATTTTTTAATGGCAGAAGGGCAAAGAAAGCTTGCATTTGGAGCTTAATGCCATTTCAGTCTTTGAAGCCCATGAGCAAGCAGCACAGTGTTTGTAATAGCCCACGTTTGGAGCTTAACGCCATTTCAGTCTTTGAAGCACATGAGCAGCACAGTGTTTGTGATCTTCATGTGGAATGTTACCATGCTGTGACGCACAGCAAATTACATCAACAATCGCAGGCTCTGCGTGAGGTATGCCTTATCTCTATGACGAAAAGGAAGCCAAATCTTAGAAGTTTCCCAAGATCACTTTCCAACCTAACGGGGACTCTAAAAATTTGCGTATCATCCTCATACATCTGCAAGGTCCCTCATAGGGAATCACATGGTATCACATCTTATTCAGAAGCTTTGGAGGCTGCCTTCCGGCCCTGTTCCAGCGCGTGTACATAGTATCTAGACTCGACTGTCAATATAGCGGAACCCTGAGCTTATGGTCCACATTGTCCACATGGTAGTGCAAGAGAGGACGACCAAGCTGTTGCAATTGCAATATTGACTGCTGGGGCTTCTCAGAGACCATATTGGACTCCAAAGCTCCAGTCCTTCACAGAAAGAGAGTAAGTATGGGTAGGGGTAGAACCTGCAGCTTAGCAAATTGGAGCCAGGTGCCTCTTCTTCCTGTTGACCGATGCCCACCTGAGTGCCCATGGCTTTTTGAGCGGGTCTTCGAGTACATAGGCCCGTGCCAGGGTGTGATGACTCGCGAGTTCTTATGGCTTACACAAGGGGGAGTGGCTGCGCTGATCGAACAGCACGATTGTCTTCATGAGACATGCAAACCAGAGGGTTCCCTTGAGGAGCTTCGGATGGAACAGAAATCTTCTTCTGCTTCTTACTGCGCCGCGTCTTTCAACTGGTGTCTAAGCCAGGCATTGAAACCCTGCTACCGAAGTTGGCGCATGTCTCTGCACAGCTGCCTGGAATTGGGCAGTTCCATTTGCATTGGACAGGCGGCGACGACGACAAGTCGCAGCTTCAGAAATGGAACTACGATGTTAACATTCAGTGCCCAGGCTGCAGTTTAAGACCCCAACTAAAGGAAGGCGATAACAATCAACCGTAGGGGTGCAGTATGTGAAAATGGTTCGCAGTGGGCTGAATCAGACCACTAGTCACTCTTACTCTCCTGCGTTGCGGCTGAGCTGCTGAAGGCGTTTTGGGTGTTGTCGCTGTTTTCCGTAGTAGAAGCAGAAGGATCACCGCGAAGACTCAAAGAGATTCTCCCTCAAAGCTGAGAAGCAAAAGCCCCTTGCAATGTAGTTCTCGGCTGTCTTTAACCCAAGCCGGTTCCCCCCATTTCAAGCTGCGCGACTTGTTGCTTCCAACACAAATTTGAAGGCAGACAACCTCTCCCAAGAAGGTCCAAGGGTAGGCCTGGGGGGGTTCCGTGCAGCCCTATAAGGTTCCAGGGTGGTGCAATCGGCACCATCACCTACCCGCACTCCCTAGGACTGTCCGGGAAACTTTCCAAGAGAGTTGCTGAGCAACAGCGCCACTGCGTGAACGGTTTGAGAAATTACCATATGACCGTGTCTGTATGTAGGCCCCTTGCTATGATCTGTGCGCTGTTTATCTGGGATTTCCGCATGGGCGTGTCATGATGGAACGCAGCCATCGTGGCACGTCCTTGTACTAGTCAGATTTTTTCGTAGAAGCAGGAGTAGTTGGTTACAACGGCTATAGTCGTCCTATGGTCCCACATTTTTGCTGTCTTCCTCAAGGTACAATGGTAAATGGTAACGAAGAGGGATACTCGATACTATACCCAATCTAACTCGCGTAGCAGCATGGAGGAGCCCTTCTGCCCGAATGTTTCCTTACGGGCTTTGCTGCGGGTATGACGGAGACCCCACCGGCCTCAATGCACCTGGACAGTGAAAGCTGGGTCACGATTTCAGAGCACTATGTGGCAGTGGTCCAACACCATGAAACACTTATGTACAGCTGTGCTATTTGTAGTCGGTGTCATTAATCGGATGTGGACAGCTTTTCTCCTCATTCAAGAGAATGCCTTGGCGCTATCAAGAAGTCATGGTGCCACGGGTTTGAAGGGCAGGAGCGAGCGGATTGTAGGCTTGCTTGACAGTCAATGGCTCGCGGCATCAGTTATTCTTGTGTCGGGGTGGGGGGGGGGTCTAAGAAGACGTAAGCTAGTCATCTCCCTCAAGTAATTACCTTCTCCTCTCGGNNCCCGCCCCCCCCCCCCTTGAGGACTGACACATTGTCCTGTGGAGCAGCCTAGAAGCCTCGAAGTGCTTTCGAGAACCATGCAGGTTTGGAGCTCATCACATGGAGCTCCGCAGTCACAAGCAAGGACACGCTTCTGTTTATCAAAGCATGAAACGTTTGGGTGTGAGCTTCTCACTTCGGGTGCGTCAAGGGGCCTGACCTCCGAATTCAAATCCTGGCAAGTACTGTAGGAATGAGACTAGGGTTTTTGCTTACGTACATTGAAGCAGTTAATCTACAACATAACATAGGTGTACAAGAAAATGGGGCGTAGAATACTTTTCCTAGGCGCCCGCCTCTTGCAGCAGGACTGTGGGGCACGCGCTTTGCAGTTTGGGCCCCGAACGCCCACTCTGTAAGCCTCGTGGGGGACTTCAACTACTGGGATGGGCGGGCGCATCCCATGTGCTGCCGGGACAAGCTTCCTGGCTTCTTCGTGAAGGGAGTGGGGTGGTCATTGTGAAAGCTGATGCATCGATTGCAAAGGGATAACGTGCAGTAAGTAGACCTTGAGGTGCTTGTTTGGGTGCCCATCGAATGTCCAAGACCCTGAAGAGAGGCCTAGAGAGTTTCTTAGACGAGCATGCGGACTTAAGTGGACTTGAAGCCTCACGGGCCCTGCATCTGCGCCATTTGGTTGCCACATTGTGTTCATGTAGCAAAGTCTTGCTAAAGGAGCTGCAGCACGGAAACATCCCTTCCCCAAATCAGAGCCACCTAACAGGGAACGGACTGGGAGTCGTGGTAAAAAAAAAGAAAATGCAACAAATCCCGCCTTGCGATTAGTGTCGACAGTCAGCAGGGCATATGTGCTTCGCGATCTATGCAGGTACGTCGAAGGTCACGCTGTGTGTGACAGTAACCCGTGACAAAGAGGGGAGTCTCTCGCTCTCTCTCTCTCTCTTTCTGTTTCTCTCTTGTCCTCGCCCTCGATGTCGGCCTTTCTTGCAGCTTGAAGCCTTTCCCTGAGGATGCTTACACGAGCATAGTCACATTCGATCCTTCCTCTCAAACAGCCCTGTCTGAGCTGTTTGCAGTGGATTTCGTACGGGCGTCTAATGTGGACAGCATCCGAAGATCTAAGCAGGAATCTCTCAAGATCGGCAAACCTCGAATTTCTTAATGTTCGCAGAGGTTCATTTGAAGACAAGCGCAAGCTCGCTCGAAAGCCTCACGTGGCACGTGTGGGACAATCTATACACACCCGCCTTTCATGGTTGCTAAGGAGGCCATTTAGTGAAAAGTGGTGGGGAAATCCTTCTCTACAAGGCTTTGAAGTCCAACGGGGCTGCCCCGCAATCTACACCTTAGATGCTGCAACTGCATAAACTCCTGTTTTCCAAGGTTTGGAGTTTGGGAGCTGTTTCTGCCGTCCTGGGACCTTCGGGGCCAGAAGTATGCTTACCAGGCCACCGTTTGGGGCTGAAGAGGGTAAGCCTTTAGGCTGTGGAGGGCTTCAGGGTTTTGGGCTGCAAGAAAGAAATGGTGTGACAGTGCAAGGAACAGGATGCCCACTGAGGTGCAGTGAGGAGGAAGGAGTTTCCAGCTGATGCTCATGATGCTGAGTGTTTGTGCTGGCAGCTGGGGAAAAGAGTTTCCAGCTGATGCTCATGATGCTGGGTTTTTGGGCTGGCGGCTAGGGAAAAGAGTTTCCAGCTGATG